AAATTAATTTTTTAATTCAATTTTAAATAAATTAATTTTTTTAAATATATCATATTATTATAAAAATATATATTTATTATACTTTTAATATATATTCTAAAAAAACATTTAAATAAACCCAACACAACAAGTAATTGTAAGTTTTGTACTCTACCTTTCATTTTCATCTTTTGACAAAAGACTATCCTATTTTTTAGGAAGTAAAATTAAAAACACTTTTGTAATGCCCCAATCTCACTTCGGACCAAGGGTACTATTTTAAGTAGCTGATAAGTTTATAAGAAAAGTATAATTGTAAGTAGTATATAAGTGTAAAGATTAATTATTATTAATAATTTAAGTTTAAAACTAATTATTTGTTAGTTTAAGTGAAAATAGTTTGGCTATTTTAAGTAAAATTTCGATTTTGAGTTTTATAAATTGAAAAACAAATACTAAGAGAGCTTCTCCTCTTATAAAATCTAATATGATTTGATTTCAAATTAGGTAAGGTCAATATAACTTCTAAACATTAAAAATTATTATAAAAAAATAAAATAACTTAAATTTAAATCATTAAAATTTGTAAAATTTAGCCTAAAAAATTATTAAGTTAGGAGCAAGCTTCAATTTAGGCATTTCACTTTTAATCACAACTTTTATAATCACAAAACAAGTAAAGAAGCCAATAATCTAAATAATTCAGTGGTCATCTCCTTCTACTGAAAATAAAAGATCTTAAATTCAAATTACATGACATGCGGGTGTAATAAGATAAATGATGAAAGATGATTACTTTTCATTGTGCAATCAATCATAAAAAAAAAAAAAAAAAAAAAAGAACAAGCAAAGAAATGGCTGTTCCTATGGAACTTGGAATAATGAATCTGGGACTTGATCTAAGTTCCAAACTGCTTCGTCACGAAGGGGATGTTAATTAATACTCAATAAATGTTAAGTGTGGTATACCTAAAATTAATAGAATTTTTTTGCATTCTCCCGTGTGGTGCAAGTGATTATGCTTTTTCATGTGAGATGCAAGGTAGAATGCACTTTATAATCATCAAGTCGACTTATCCATAGGTACTCGAACAGATACAACTTTATTAATCATGCTTTTATGGTAAAAAAAAAATTAATAGAATTTTCTTAATTTTTTATTTATTTATTTATTTTTCTGAATTTTTCTTATCGCATATTTCCTTTTGTTACAAAAAATTTAATATAGGAACTAGATTGAACATTTTAAAAGTTTTAGAACTAATACATGGAGTAAATAATTAGTTGCAATGGA